TTTTTTTTTTTTTTGTCTAATGACATAAATTTTGGTTCAAACAACAACAACAACAACAACAAAGAAAAGAAAAACTATGTTCTCATATTCCTCATCCATCATTTCTATAAATCGAAATAACTGCGAAAATCTAACATATTATGTTAATGGAATCATAATTGACAAATCCAACATATTACATTATGTTCATACAGGCCTTTCTAGAGGTGCCAAATATGGCATCATAGTCGGAGTTGGAATACCCGGGCTAGTGTGCATAATTGGACTAGCATGTTACGCTTGCGGCATTGTCCGGGCTTCCACCCTCCGGCGACAATTAAACTCCGACCTACCCAACACATTTTCTGATCAATGGCCCACCATTAGGTCTGTTAATGGGCTCGACCGGCCTACTATCGAGTCATATCCAACCACTATTCTTGGAGAGAGTCGTCGGCTCCCAAAACCGAGCGATGGCACCTGCCCCATTTGCCTGTCTGATTATCAACCTAAGGAGACACTAAGGAGTATTCCCGAGTGCAACCATTATTTTCACGCGGAATGCATAGACGAGTGGCTCAAGCTCAACAGGAGTTGTCCCTTGTGTAGGAAATCACCTGAGAGCACGTCCCCTTGCTCGTCTTCACCGTCGATACTTGTTCATCCACAAATATAGGTCGTGATTTGGAAACAATTTGTGTTCATTCTGTCATTGTTTTTTTATAATTATACATTTTGTGTATATATTGGATTTTATAAGTTGCCTGATATGATTCATTGTTGGCTTTTATACAACGCTCGAGTTTTAATGCTTCATGGAGCTTGATTGTTTATCTCAAAAAATAAATAGAAGAGAAACAAATAAATTAATAAATAAATAAATAAAATCAACAGAAGATGTATTATGATTTTTAAATCTTTTCTACAAGGTAATCTAATACCCTTATGTATAAAGATAAACAATTCAGTAGTTGTAATCAGACTCTATTATGGATTTCTAACCACGTAATCAGTTGCTTTCTTTTGCATACGTACCAACGCAACAATCAAGAATTGGTTTCGCCGTACTTGTTGCATAAGAGGATTCGGATTATCCAACGAAGCTAATCAATAAGGATATAGATTGGGTGAGGCTTGGGAACAAAACCAAGAAGGTTGGTGGATTGTCTAAAAAAAATCTTTTTTTTTTTTTTTAATAATACAAATTGTTATATTTCTTTCAGTTTCCAGGGGTCCTCGTCTCTGTTTTTTTTTTTTTTTTAAAGGTAGGGGGGGGGAGGGGGGTTTGGGGGCAAATGACAAGAAGATATTGTAACATCAACTTACAAGAGATGTTAGATGGGTTTATTGTTGCTAATTAAATTATACCTACTTGGTACTTACCTTTTTAAAAATTGATTATGTTAATTAAGACAAAAAATGTTACGTTTGATATTAATTGAGTAATAATTATATTTTTATTATATCATATAATAGTTATTATTGGAGATACTAATTATATTTTACTAAATGATGTGAAAGTTAAATAAACATAAAAAAAAATATTAAAAACTTTTTTGTTCAAGTTATTTATTCTAAAATTAATATTATATCTTTTTTATCTGATTAAGCGATTGTTTTTAAATAAAATAATTTATTTAAATGTCATAGTAAAATTCTTTATATTACGTAAACAATTGTTTTAATAAATTTAATATTTCTCAGCAAATTAATTGGTTTTACTCTCAAAATTACAAATATTATATTATTTATTACATTTTGTACAATTAAGATAGTGATTCATATACAATAAAATAGTTATGTATTACTTATTTTAACCAAATCAAATTTTACAATATAATACCATTATCTAACTTATAATTTTAATAATAAATATTACTTACAAGACTCTATATATTTAAAAGTTAACACAATTATTTAGAGTCGGGATCATATGAGAACGGAAGATAGTGAAAGAAATAAGAATAAATCTCTGACATTAGATCCAACATATTAATGACCATGGTCAAGTCAAAATATGGTCAATCATTAATGACAATATGGTAATTTAACATATATATTGAGGTCAAATGTACATATTTGACCACTAACTAAGGGTAAAATTGTCATTATACAGACCACACCCCAAACATGGCAATGCCAAACTCATAGTGGGTCCCACCTCATTAATATAAACTAATCACACTTTCTATCTCTCGCACACACACACACACCCAAACACACACTTAACGCACACACACACACACATACTTAACGCACAGACTCACACACACACACTTTGCATTTGAGATCCGGCAGCCGTTCCCCACCTCGTCGCTCGCCGACGCAAGATTTCCGTCGCCGTCTGGAATATGACGCGTCCCTCCATCTCGTCGAATACTCGACCAAGGTGGAGTTTCTAAAACTTTGGCGAGAATCAACCAGAAAACACCCAAGCCATGTCGCTGCTCAGGGCTAGCGAAATAGGCCACGAGTCGTCGCTTCGGACACCGCCGAGATGGCCGCTGGAGTGTTGCGTATCTCCGTCGAGAAAAATAGAAAACGAGCTCGTCATTCTCGCCGTAGCACCAGACGGATGAGAGTCGGCGGCCGACTGACAACATAACCTTCACGGTGAGAGCCTCGAGGTCGACGGGAGAAGTCCGGCGCTGAGCGGCAGCGACAGTGACGGGAGGATGAAGGTTGTTAGGGATAAGACTTATTTTAGAGAATTAGATAAGTTACAAGGATCTTTATGCAATTTCATAACTTTAGTATATTGCATTTTAGTACCCATGGTAGTTTTGTAATTTATTAAATGTCAAACCCATGCGCATTACTAATATATAAAATGCACAAAATCATCTGATAAAATAAACAATAAACTTTATAATTTTAGTTTGTTCGTGTTTAGTCTTTTTTTTTTATTTCCCAAAACGACAGTGGTACTATATTAAAAAAATTGCACAAAGTGCGAAGAAAAGCAGCCAAGGGCTGAATAGTACAACCAGAGACTGGTAAAACTGAGAGGCAGATCCAGAAGATCGCCTAGAGCCTATCTAGCAACACTAGAATAACAAACTCGCACTACGAGACTAAAAGAACAACAACTAAAAAACTACAAGATCCCAACAGGATAATACCCGAGTGTCTGATCCCAATAGGATAATAAAGTGACATTCGGGCTCATTGAGGCAACTGCCGAAACCTAAAACACATAAACAACACAAAAACACAGATACAATAAACACTAAAAAACAAACACAATTAAAATAAGCACAGATAGCCCTTCCACAACAGACTAACATGCCCAACCAGCAGTGGACGATCGGCACAAAAAAGAATCCAAGCCCCAGAAATCGCTGTCGAAACTGCACTAATGCCTATACAATAGCCATAGCCGAACCCTGAACCAATCCCCGAACCGACCCGTCGCCAACCGAGAAGACCAACCTCCAAACCAGCTACACCCGAGCCCTTCTAACACCACTAGCCGAGCTCGAAAGAACCAGTCCCCCGCCGCCTAACACCACTAGTTGAACAGGGGGAGAGGAAGGCTCAGTCCCGCAACCCCGACCACCGCGACTGGAAGCCGCAGTAGTCTGAGTCCCGCCCCACCCTGTGACTCACTCTCCACCCGACATCTCCACCGACCGCCGACGAACTGAGGCCCACGCCCCACCCGAAGAGGTGAAACCCCATCGGTAAAAGCCAAGTAACACAATAACTGATAAGGTGAAGATAAATGGACTTATCGCCACAAATCAGAGCTCCATCGGCAACTGAGGAAAGGACCCCAGTCTCAGGCCAAACTCTGACCGCGATGGACGCCACCACCTTTCGAGAACTCATCAGAAACCGGGTAGAAGACCTTCAATCGCGAACAATCAATGGCAACAAAGAAGAGTTTCGTCCAGAGCGAGTCGGGCGGTCAAAGATGACCCCTGGCCGTGCAACGCCGCTGCTGAGGAAGGCGATTCGCCGAAATTGAAGAGAAAGACGATGGGATTTTGGGGGTAGGGTTTTTTCGCCGTTGTTGGTATCATTGAGGGATCTTTTGTGTATTGTTCGTGTTTAGTCGAATTTTGTGCAATCTTATAGTCATTAATGCGCAACTCGTAATACAGTAATGTGCAATCGCATTGCATTATATTATTTTAATGACTTGTCCAAAACAAATTAAAACATAATCGAAACAACCGTTTTATTAGTTCGATCAAACAAATTTATCTAAATAAACAAAAAATTTATAAATTATATCATAAAATATATTTAATATTTTATTATTTTATTATAATATTTTTTTATAATTTTTTGTTAAAAAGTAATAATATAAATATAAAAAAATATTTTTTTTTATGTACATTGGTCGACTGATTGTTAAAAAAGAAACTGACATCAAATCGAAATAACCAATTTTTTAAAAGTAAAGAACGAACACCGAACCGACATATATTATAAACATTCCAGTTCATTTCGGTCGGCATATACGCTAAAGTGCAATATCACAAACACAAAATTGCAACATGACAATCATTAATGTGCTTTTTTTTGGCTGCCATGTGTAGTCAGTAAGGACCGAACTTTCGTATCAATCAACTGAAATCGAACACTAACGTGCATTTTAATTTTAAATAATTTTAATAATGTGTATTTTAATTATAATTACCGTGCATTTATCAAATCATTTATGCAATTGAAAATATTTAGTATTTATAATTTTGGTATTTAATATTTGTATTATTAATTTAATTGACATCACCACGCACTTGTTACGCTAAGGTGCAATCTCACTAACACAAAAGTGCAACACTCAGTCAATAAAGTGTCAAATGTCTAATAATATTTTAATTTTCTATCTTATTTTTTATTTAATAGTTTTTTTATTATGTTATTAAAAGATATATAACAATAGTATAATTTTATATAAATTTTTTAAATTGCATATTTGGATAATGGGTCAAATTGAAACTAACAGGTAGATATAATGCAATTGTTCGAGTAGTTCAACTTCCACGTAGATGCAATTTGCATGAAAATATACCCATAAACTCCAATATAGAACAAATGCAGCAGGGCTAACCATATCAACTTAATTTCATAGTCCACAGTTGAACAATATGCTAAGCACACAATATTAGCCAAAACTCCAATCACCACAATATCATTCATATTAAACTAACAAAATCAAGAAACTCACTCGAGCCTAGACACAAGCACCCAAGTCCATTAGCGCAATATATATAAGGTAGATATATTGCCTTGCTCAATAGTTCAACTTCGACATAGGTGCAATTTGCATGTAAACATAGCCATGAACTCCATTATAGAACATCAACTTTCACGGTCCCAGTTCAATAATATCCAAAGCACATAAGATTAGCCAAAATTTCCATCATCACTAATATTACAACTAAAAAAAAAAAAAAAAAACTAAGTGGCTATTATTCTTCTAATTAAGCTAAACTTGTACGCACAACTAACCGAAAGCCAATAAACTTACTCGGGCGGAGCCACATCCTGCCAGAGTCACCAACATAATATACATTAGGCTTGACGTATGTATTATAATCCCGGTGGCTTCCGTCGCCAACTTCGACTCAGGCAGGTAACCTGACAGCACCGTCAAAATATTATATCGCCGCCACTCTAAACTTATCCTGACACAACTAGGACCGCCAACCTCAGCACCCCACCACAAAGTAAAATTATTGTTATTCTAACAAAATAAAAGAACTAAATACAGTAATAAGAAATATCCCAAAAACTAAAAATGTCGAAGCGATGAACCCATTGTGATGCTTTGTCTCCATCCACCCCATCAAAGTCGATGGTGCCCGACAGCCGCTCACGACTCCAATTCTCCATCATTTGAGTCACAGTCGTTGGAGCTGTGGGGTTTCACCGACTCTACAACCACAGGGCTCCACCATATAGTGCCGCTCCATAGACACATTGCTCTCTGTCGATGATCCTTTATCAGCCGTTGTTAGTCGTCCGTCGATCTCCGACACGGTCCTCATCCGCGCTCTGGTTGTTTTTCCATCAATTATGTGTTGTCTGCCTATCTCCATCACGCCGCCGTCCCTGTGCTGTTGGCGAGAGTTTTTACAGTGGGCGTTCGCGAGGGAGAGAAACGAATGAGAAGAATAAATTAGGATTGAAAATGAAGAATTTGGTAATTTTGGTTTGCAAGGGAAGGAAGAAGAATTAAGGGAAGAAAAAGAGAGAGGAAAAAAATAGGAGGGGGTATGGGAAAGAGGAGAAAAAATGGAGATATGAATAATATTTGAATTTAAATTTTTTTCAATAAAAATTCAAAACATATTTGGTGGGATTTTTCAAAAAAAAAAAAAAAATTCAAAAAAAGTTACTATGTTTAGTAATATATTTATGCGGAATTTTAGATGATTTTTTTGGTTACTATTTTTAAATTATTTAAGTTGTCTCTTTATATATTAAGAGCACCGTAACGCCAGTGTTAATTGGGGCGTTTAAACTCCAGCTGGTGTTCAACGGGTTGTGGGCGTTCAATTTAGCTGCGGGGCCTTCAATTGCGTTCAGTCCATTGAACGCGTTCACTGTCCCTTTATATTTATTTCTTATTTTGTTTTAACTTAATTGTTTAATCCCATTATTTTCCTTTTTTTTTATATTAATTCATTTTTCTTATCTACATCACACTTCCCAATATAGACAAATTTTAACTCACACTTTTCAATATGTATCAATAATTTATATTTTCCATCTCTCATTGTTTGCCTATAAATACGACTCATTTTTACACTTCTTCTGCACCAAAAAAATTAGCAACTGCCCACTTGTGTTAAAGAAATGGATTCGAATAATAGGAAAAAAAAATTCAAAATTTCTCAACCTCTAATCCTATCAATCCAGATGAAATTTCATTCTTCCAAAATTCACAAATTCCGCCGAATTTACTATTTTCACAAACTCCTTATCCTGCATAAATTTTCCAACAATTACCTTCAAATTTTCCTTTTATGCAACAACCATCCCAAAATTATTTAAATTCCACCAATATTCAATATTCACAATATCCTTTAAAAGTTGTATTTCAAAACCCGCCGCCTGAATATTGGCAGTACATGAGTAGTCAAAATTTGGTGCAATCTTCTCTGCAACAATCGAGTCAATCTCTCGGATCCCAAATGAGGAAAGAACCTGATACTCAAACTTACGTTCCAGAAACACAATTCTAGGATCGTGAAGCTACCATTAATGTTGAAATCCCAAAAAACACACGTGTTGCTGCTAAGGGCCGTAAAAAACGTTCATAATGGACAAAGGAAGAGGATGTGTGTAACACCCTGCTACTTGTAATACATCAGAGTACGCAATTTTTCGCAAATTTACTGAAAACTTAAATAAATAAAATACTTATTTTTGCGAAAACTGATCGGGATGCTACCGTGAAAACTTGATTTTCTGAAAACCGTTTAAAAATTTAAACTGATAAATAAAAACAGTCATAATGTCTCATCCGACAAACATCGGAACAAAGTCTGATAAAAGTACTGAAAA